TCTATCGGCGGCCGTTACGGGAGAGCTGCCACGGTCATTTTCTCATGATTTAAGAGCTCGTTTGGGGTGTTTTCGTGGACTCTTGCAGTCTTGGCCTGATATTAAACTCAGTGGAAGGTCACCACAGCGGAGGAAATTTGCCTTGATCAGGAGCTCACGGATGAACACATCTCCATTCAGACTACGACTCTGCCGATGCCCCCACTTAACTGACTAGTGGTGCAACATACAAATTACGGGTGACATCACAATGACAGAAGAAGCGATTACACAAGCAGTTAACGGTTATCATGGATGGCCCTGCGGCCACTGCACTAATTATGAGTTGTGTGTCTCCTCATTTCTTAGCAGGGAGGAGAACCTTTTTATGATGTTGTTAAGGAGCACATATCGCCGGTTTCAGTGCTCAAGGCATTTCCATTATTACCCTGTCAACTGGGCCATTTTCCCTACACCAGAGAAATATGCTTCTTAAGAACTGTTCATATCAGAACAAAATGACAACCATTTTTTGTCCTCAAGCTTAGTGTCTAAACTAAAGCTTTATACACAAACTGAATAACTTCAGTTTTGTGTGGGTTTTTTCGGAGAACAAGAGATAGAGAAACAACATTGTTAATTAATAGCAACAGTACCAAATATTTAAGTACCGGGCGTTAAATGCTCCTGCCATAATTATTGTGAAGGAAAAATATTTGCCAAACAAATCTGGAACTCCAAATCACTTTCAAGATGCTCACGATGAAACAAAATTTGTAAATTTAAAGTATGAATCCAAAAATTATGAAGTCAGATGAGATTGCTGGTAAAAACCAAATACAGTGATACAAAAGCGGTTAAATTCCATAGGACAGACAGAAACTCATGCTCACAGGGAACATAAAGGTTCAGAAATAGATCCCAAACCAACTACTCGCAGGGAATCCTGTTCGTTGTCAAATATATCTAAGCAATACTTCATATGCAGTCATTTTGGTGAAAAGGATTGAGTTTCATAAACCTAATTATACTTTTTGACAGAGACTATATGATGTTCAATGCGTTCAGCGTGCCTCATTTGTTCCACTGAACAGCCTCTGCAGCATAGGACACGCCATTTATGCTTCCGTAAATTTTCAGCGCAATCTCAATGTCCTTTTGATCAAACAGAAATCAGAGATTTTTATTTTGTGTTGAGCAATCTATTTGGATTTTTTAGACAACTTTCAAGTTTTATTTACTGATATATGTAAAGCATTACTTTATTTTCTGTAGCTTTTGTCTACAATATTATCCTTCCTTCAGACATAAAGGTACAAGCCATATCAACGATTAGAGTTTGATTCACGATGAAACCGAGTATAAAGTTACATTGGTGGTCGATAATTTCACGTTGGACATATCCGACTGTAACTTAAACAGTATGGAGTAATTCCAATTACGGGTTTTGCCCTGACATACTCATAAACACTGCATTACTCAGTGCTTGAGCCGAGAGCCGAGAGCTTGACAAAAACATCCACAAGCTTACTCGGGTGAGACTCGAACCCACGACCTCCTTCTAACTAGTGCAGACGTGTTAACCACTCGACCACCGAGCTTGCCGGAGTCGGCTCGCCGGTCCAAATCAGATGTAGCAGCGGGTACTGTAAACTATTTCAAGACGTCTGCGCTTGTAAGCAGCAGGTCTTGGGTTTGAGTCCACCCAAGTAAGCTTGTAATTTTTCACAAGCTCTCGGAGAAGCACTGAGTATACAGTGTTATGAGTGTGTAAGGGCAAAACCCGTGATTAGAATTAACATCTCCCCAACGTAAGTAGGCCTACATCTTGAAAAAGATGGAGTAACCAACGGCAAGATGGCATGAGAATAATTCGAATCATTATGTTACATCAGTTAAAAACACTGTTTTGAATCGTAGTTGACGTTTTGTCGATAGGGAAAAACAATCCACTGTCAAGTGTCACAAAAGCCAATAAGCCACCTCCCATCACATCACACACACGCTAGATTGCGTTTGTGAACAAAACTCTACCCTAGCCGAGAGCCACGGCTACCCCTCATCCACTCGCGCTGTTCTCCCTCACATTCCATGATGCAAGCAACTGTATTCTTGTTTACACCATGGAGGAAGGTTTGTGTTCCATCTTCCATGTTTACGCCCAACTCCAATCCTGTTGTCAACAGCCCGTGTCTTTCGATAAAGTGAATGTCCCGGCTGTAAGCCTCGCCCGGAGGGTAAGGGAGGTGGAATGCACAATGTACGCAACAAACCCACAAAAAAAGCAAAGAATTCTAAGCCACCTAATTCAGCCACCAAAAACCCGCCTGTGAAACCACACGTGAATCACGTATTTTTCAGCCCCAGAAATGTGGGGACTTTTTTCTCTCTTCGTCCTCACACAATCAATAACATCGTGTCTAACTCCCCAAAAATGTTGCCGTACAGTCATTACAAAAAATGTGACCCAGGGGGTAGCGAGCGGGACCAGACGCATTTAGACTGCCTTCCGTTGTAGGCACGTTACCGGGTACGTCGGCTTCAAGTTCACCATCAATTAGGTTGAATGATTAGACATGGGGCAGGTGCATTGGCCTCTGCGTTCATTGACCTGACCACAATTGCTCCCTCTGTGCGGTACACATACCCCTAACGTCTTCTTGGCAAGGCATTTAGCCAGTCGCGCTGTTCGGTTAGGTAATGGTAATGATTGACCAGAATCCAGACCCGGGCTCCCCCGTCGAGAGGGGCTGGCATGAAAAATGACCCGTCCCTGACCAGGCCTGTGAATCCATTGACCTACCTTACTGACCGGCGTCAAGGCCTTTATCATCATTCTTTTCGGACCGGTCAGTCCGGCTGGTCATTCGGAACATAAAGGCCTCATGTCATCCTTGGCCTGGCCAGACTGACCCCTCGCGATAACTAGCCGCAACATTCTTACGTGGCCATTGGACAACTGGTCATAACAAGCTGGCCGAAGGGTCTCAATGCAAACTGACCACACACTTCACCATGACCTGAGTGAACTAATTCAGATTGACGGGCCAGTTATTAGGAATTCCACAACCATGGCTATTTTTGCTGGCATGCAAAGCTCACGTGTTACAACTAGCGATCTGATAGTCATCACAGAACTAACAGTCGCCTTTTATCATTAACAGAAGAGATCGATCAACCACTATACACGCTTATAATTAATACATCTAGACAAAAATAGCCCTGGGACCTCCTAAAAGTGTGGGGTCTTTTAGTTTGGCGTGGGTGGATAATGATTAAAACCAGCAGAGATAACGCGCTGAAAAAATTCATTGATATTTTCTAGCTCTGAACTCTAAGCCGATGTGCGTTAGGCAATTGGATTTTATGACACAGCTTGGCAGTTTATTGTCACTGAAAGCTAAATGGTGTGTGAGTAATTCAGTACAAGAGACATAGGACGCTCAGCACATAAAAAACTGGCTGCCATTCAACCATATCATACGCAAACATTTCTACTGAGCTGTTTTGAAGAAAAAACCAAACCCTTCATTGTCAAGAAATGGCAAGTAAAAGTGTGGTATGATGGTGGTTTATAAAATGAATACCTCATTTTACTTCGATGGAAATATTCAACCAGCCAATTGAAAGCGAAGGATGCAAGGCGAGAAGCAGCGTTACAGATATTGGGCAACAATCACGCGTAGCTAGGTTAAGTGAACTGTGGATCAGGCGGCCGTGGGTCGAAACCTTTTCAATGGATTCCAAGAATTACCACAGAGGAGCGCGGCCGCGCACGGCCGACTGGTCGGGATAGAGTTACAAACAAATCCATCCATTGTCTCGTGTCAGTCCCGCACCCGCAGCAGTAAAACATCGCTTCCGTGACCTGAGTTGACCGGCGATTCTGGTCAAGGTGAGAGGGGTTGATTGTAAAGTGAGCTTATCGCGATAGGCCTGGAATCTGACCAGATTTTTTCTTAAAGCATGAATCTTGCCCCTGACCGCGTCTATGGTTACGCCAATAATGTTGCCGGTTCGCAATCCCCACTGTCCTGCTGCAAGGGAGCGATTGCACGCCTACGGCCTGGGGTGTTTTTCTATTTCTCCAAAGCAAGCTTGGCCTACCTGCGCGACCTCATGTGAGGTCAGCCACGTAACACGTCACGTGGCCTTATTAACAGCTGCTGATGGACTGAATAATGAGTCTCCAAAGCCTGTCCTTGGTTGCAGGAATAATTACGAGGAAGAAGGTGATCGGTTCAGTTATAATTACGTGACAACAACTCGTGGGGCGACAGACTGCCTTTCAAAGGCCGAAATGAACAGGAAGAAACGTAACTGATTACACACGGTGTTTCACAATCCACTAATGAACTGAACTGCGAGCTGTGACTTGATGTAGGAAGTTGGTTGTTTATAATGTAAAACATCATAAATGTCACAAGTCCATCCACAAAGAAAGTTGGACTGACACTTTTTGAACTGGTACTATATCTATAAAACCTGAAAGGCTTCAAATTTTTGGGCTCCGTTGGGCACTGTTACGGCGCCATTTAATGAATTTGGCGCTGTACATACAAGACTAAACCTTATCGCTATGATAATTATAAGTAAATAATTACGCCAATCGATCAATAAAGGAATGAAATGGTCATACGATCAATTGTATCACTTTCATATCAAACGGCTTATGATTATTGTTATTGTGATGTGCGAACAGACGACATGCAATACAGGGTAATGGGCGTATTTTGCTAATGCCTCCAAATTTGCAATAGAAGCAGCCGAACAAGGATCCAAAAGTTCAATGCTTAGGTGCTGTGGTGGAGGGTACCAAGTTTGGGGCAATTTCCTAGTAATTTAAAATGTCACCAGTTGAGGCTGTTACATACATCACGGCGGCATTTCCCACATTAGATCTGTTTGGAACTTCTAACCAAAGTCAGGTCTGCCGAGTGGCGAGCCACTTGGTCTGGGAACATATACCGGGGAATTATCATCGACAGTCAAGAAGCACTGACTGCGAAAACACATTTAACTCGGATGGCAAATATTTACACTTTAATATATCTCACACAGTCGTTCCGTTACAGATTTTTTTAAAGAATGAAAGTAATAGACTCCTGGCATGGCCATACCAAATACATGTATGTAATCACCGTTACAACAGGTCCTCCTTTGCCCGCTCGGTGCATGATATCGCGTTCAGCCAGACGAACACCTTTCTTTAATTTGCGCCACAGCTACACTGCCTAATTGAACCGTTGGCAGCTCTGTTAGCTGCGACTAAGAACGGCCCGTTCCCTGACTATAGACACTCGCACATCGCACCCTTCCTTATCCCAAAATGATGAACCTGTGGGAAGGTGAGTTTCGTGACTAACCCAAAATGCCATAGCTCTGAAATAAATTCAAAATGTTTCACATTAAGTTGCAGTCTCTCTCTAAAAGAAAATATCCCTTCGACATATTAAATTAGTGAGTGAACTACCAGAAGCTTACGTAGACAGTTCCTAAGTTCTTGAAAGACAGACTTTTGTTCGATTGCAAAGAAGAAAGTCAAAAGACAACAAAATTCCTCTTACGAATTGTCTTAAATCAAAATCAAACACGATACAATAACACTATTTACCCTAAAAGATTCCGAGCGAAACCTAATTGAGAACTTAAAGCACGCAACATTATAGCACCACGCATACACTGGAATGCTGTGAGATAACCATATACATGTATAACATAAAATCTTCATGTGCAGCAGCATTTACCGTCTGGTGCATTATTACAAACGCACGAAGGGCAAGACTGATTTTGGTTCCATTTACAGGCAGGTCGGCATTCGTCATTGGTCGTGATTAGACGGGTTATGTAACGTAGCCCGGCCTTAACCTGCTATATGGGCTCACGTTCTGTTTGTAACTGTTGGTACGGCAAGACCCACAGGCAATCAATCCTACTGTCTCGCTCGTGACTGCTCTCAGCCACTGGCGAAACCATTGTAGTGAAATTACGACATGCCAATCAGTCAGTACCAGACGAAAACAGTATACTCCAATACCTATAAACCAAGTATCCACGATCACTTGCTTTGAAACGTCAAACCCAAAAATAGTGTTGTTGTTGGAAAACAGTATTGACTGCGTGTGATAACGGCGGTGGATTTACTGCACTTCACTGACCTGTCGTTAAAACTTCTGCTATAATTTCACTTCTTTCTGACACTTCTTGATTACAGATATCTTCCCTGAGAGATAAATACATTCTTACACATCTGACCAGTTGGACTAGGCTAGGCAATGACAGTTATCCCTGGGCAGTATGTTCCACTGCAATGGTCATAATTCCATTTTAAAAACACTTATGAGCTTTGGCTCAACTGTATGTCACAAACGACATTATGCAATTCACTTTTAAAAATACAAGAGACTTTCACATTTTGCAACTCTTGGAAGTGAGCAGTGCTGTCTCATAAAACTATTTTAAAGCATTTTGAACAATAAGAATAACAAATTCCATTGGCGGGATCGAGACCAAAATAACCAAACAATATGGACCAATTGATGTATTGAATACATACATGGTTGAGTTGTGAACATAAACAAGATACTGCAGTTTCCACTTGAGTTAATGTCTGCGGGGCAAATACATGTCCAGTGCAGTTTCCTCCAACTGCAAAGTCTTTTAACGAAGTGCACCTTTGCTATGTAGTTTTTCGTGTCGGCAAGGTCTGTGAGCTTGTGCACCATTAGTGCGTTTTTTTCAAACGCACTGCAGCATTCACTCATCAGGCGAAAAACCGACACCGTGGCCCCGCACAGTATTTCAGTTTCAGAGGTAACAAACCATCAGCAGTTATACACCATGTAATGCAGCCTGCCCATTTCGCTCTTGAGGATGGACACCTCTGCTCTGAGTTTCATGTTCTCTTGTTCAAGGAACACAGCACGAAGGGCGATCTCTTCCTCTTTTTCTCGGCGGGCGTCACGAGAACGTTTCGCCGCATCGTTGTTCTTACGTCTCCGGTCCCAGTACGCACTGTCCTTCTTCTCGTCGGGGACGGGACGAACTTTCTTTCTGGAGGGTTCCTGTGGCGGAATGCTACTGTCACCCTTGTCGGAAGTGGAAACTGCGGCTCGTCTCTTCCTGGACGCAAGAAGTGCCGACAGCCTTAGCGTGGACAGGGACGGCGCTGTACTGTCAGCTGCGACCGGATAGCTGCCGTACAACGGGTAGGTCGCGGCGGCACTGTAACCCGCGGCGTAATTGGCCGGTGTAAGCGCCGAGCTCCCCTCACCCAGGAAGGAGTACGGAGACAGCGTGGAGGAGATCGGCAATGACGGGTAGGGGTAGAAAGTTTTGTAGGCAGCGGCGGCCGCGGCAGACGAAGGGGCCGGAAGGCCGCGGTGGCTCAGATCCAGCGGTTTAGTCCCGACGCTGAACTCGCTCCTCGGGCCGTCCTTGATCGAGCGAGACGGAGCGATCATGTTGGCAACATCGAGGGCGGTCTGCCTCCTGGTCGTAGCTACCGGTTTGTTGTCCGTGGTGGATTCTGCCTGGTGGTACTCATCCTCTTTAGTCACCATTCTGGCGGTAAAAGGTTCCCCGTGGTCTTTGCAGATGACTTTCTCTTCCATTCTATACCGGCTGGGGCCCTGTGCTTAAGTGTCCTGAAACCGATAAAGTGCATACACAAATCCTGTTAAAAAGAGAAAAAAAAGGCCCCCGTTTCGTCCCATAGGCCTATCTAACCCGACCCGACCCACGCTTGCAACACAATATGAAAGCCTGTTTACCGTGTGAATGACACTTAACCCAACCGTGACGATGGACCTACATTTCCACATCACGATTCGTTTTGAATGATTTCACCGCACCTACGGGTTTGTATAACACTACTAACAGCATTCTTGAACGCTGCAATTCATAGAAGCGTAGACCGTACCATATCGATTTAGTGCAATACTACCAAAAAATATTTCGCACACACAGAGGGGAATTTTTTTAATGTAAATTTTGTTATTGCTGTTAATCTACAAGAAACTTAGAAATGCTGCATGGGAACAACTAAAGAGGAGGGGGTACATGCGATGAAAACAGATAAACACAATTCAAAATGGGTGGACTTACTCTTAGACTGGTGTGGACTGTAACAATGCGTTGCTCTCCGAGTGCTACAACAGATGCAAGGTACCCGCGTTTATTGCAACGCTCGTGATCGGTGACTCGCAAGATTATTTGCCTAGAATCGTCGCTAATTGCGCACGTTGTCGGTCAACTCGTGTGTCGGGGCTGACCCCAAACTACCTCGGTTTATATAGGCGGCTGGTGATCCGTGCACTTGTGACCTTAGGTGTAGCGGTGACGTCGCACAAAGCACGACCTTAACGCGGTCAACTTGGTCGCAGCGAATGACGCCCAGAGTCGGGGCCGGCTTCAACCCTGTAGCTAACTCTGCGACTTGTGTCGGCTGTTACCTAATCTCGCTAATCCCCACCAAGCAAGGCCAAGTTGTTGGCTCCATTTATCGCATGGTTTGTCGCTTAGGAGCCGACACAGGAGAGCAAAAGGTTATCCGTCCTGTTGTAAACAGTACACATGTAGTCTGAAAAATGCGCTGGCTCGCTAGGCCAGCGTTTACGCACGGAAGTCTCCACACGAGTCACATTCCGTTAAGCCATGTACACGATGTTCAGTATACATTGCCGTAATAAGCCTTGCTGCTGCAAACAACTCCGTTTAAAGTCAAATGAGAATATGTTTACCTCACCATTGAAGAAACGGACTTCTGTGATTATGTACTAGACGAGCATCCAATAAAAACATAGGCCTACCATTCAGGGATAAACATTACGTAACAGTACTTTATTTGTCCAGGAATGATGATTATGTTTTTCTCTCAAGTTTTGCTCATTGCAGATTCGGCTTGATAATTATAATAGGTCCTCCAGGTATTTTTTTTCAGCACACCAAGACTGTCTAGCGTATTCGTGGCGTGGGAAAACATGTTCAAAAGTGCATCAATAGCCACATAATGGCTGTTCGTGCACGACGAGTATATTGAAACGCAACCGCCATTGTGCAAACATTGACAGAATCATTTGTCTTTACTTCGTGATGCTGTGAATGAAGTCTTCCGCGGGACTTGAAAAAAGTGCTTGGGATTTATTAATTAATACCTGCCGGGTTATTGACTGATAGGTTATCATCAAAGTGGCTGGGCTGCAAGGGGGCAAAATCGGGAAGGGGCCGTTCTCACATCTGCCAAACTGAAGCCCCCAGTCAGTAACGCGGAGCGGCAGGGTCATTAACGCCTCGGTTGAGTCACTCTGGGTGTTAACAGAGACTCAAACATGGTCGATGAGCCCTTTTGGAGGGAGCCGGTCCGATGGGGGTGTACCTGGTGAGACGTGAGGGCGCTAGAGGGACCAGAGAAAACGCAAAGGGTTGATATTCCAAGAAATTAGCCAGAGTTGGTCATTCAACCCTTGATTTTCCACCCCTATCATTTCCATCCTTGTGCTTTCCCCTCATCCATCCAGGCTCCCATTGACTTGTAACAAATTACACCCTTTTTTTCAAATGCCTTTTCATGAAACTGAAGCAGGCTAGGATCGCCCATCCTTATGTGCTATAATTCCACACTAACGCCGATGCCTTGTGAGCTTAATCCCGAGCAGCATGTCTAATTTTATCGAACGGTGCTGTTCCAATATAGGGAGTAATCGGGATAGTTTATCTAGGACATCCAGAATGAAACGAATTCAAAGACATTTTTCTTTACTGGAGTTTACATTACAACAGCTAAACCTATGTCAGTTGGACAAGATGCTCACAGTGGGCCGCAATATACAAGTAACGGCCTAAGTATACTCAAAAGGTACTGAGGTTTTTGTGAAGAGCGGTAATGTTTATAGATTGATAATGAGCCAGTTCGGTTTTCCAACAGCGCATGCCCCAAATAAAGCGCGTCCAAGGTCATTTTTGAAATACCGATCTCGCTTATCAAAAAAACACTCTAGTTTTTTCAAGATGTACTTTGCGTCAGGCAGATGTTAATTTGAATATTAATGGACACTGTACACCCAGTGCTTGGTTTTAGATAAAACACTGAGCACTTGTCTTAATTGTGACGTACATGTACAAGAATGAAGGGACTGACGCCAGAGGAACTTCTAGAATTATACAGACAAAAGAATAATATGTTTTCATGGTTGAATAGCCACGTTTATATATTTTCTCCTCTAACCCTATAGGCTTACTGATATGAGTGAAACAAGTGGGTCTGGTACCTTTCTTGATACTACATTAGATGGAGGACATGTAATTCTCAAGTGGTAAAATTAACTTTATAATTGCCTATGTTATGCCTCTGTTTTTTGGCCAATTTAGTTTCACGAACAGGGCGCACGATTAAGGCGCTGTCAACCTTGTAGGGGCTGAAGTCTGTGTCACAGTGTTGCTCCTACAAATTTGGTAAAAAATAATAGGATTATTAAGAAAGGCAAAAATTTAGCGCGCCCCTCTTCCACCGACATCCACCTTCCTGAACCAGCTGGCTATGCCGTTGCTCCAGTGCCCTGGTTTTTATGGATTTGTCTGGAAGCCTAGTCGCTCCTGAAAGTATAAGTCGACCCGTTTTCGTCTAGACTCCCATTCACTATTTCAGTGAGGATTGAAAGCGTTGGGGTATTTAAAGACTTCAGAGAAAATAAGGATGTAACATAATTGAGCGTATTGTATTCCTCATTGAAATTTCAAATTAACAGTACATAGCCAGGTAGTAGTGCTGTATTCAGCCGTTTGTTTCATTGTGTTTGTTTGTTTGTTGGGTTGTTTGTTTGTTTGTTTGTTCGATTTTGTAAGGAAAAAGACACAATGCATCCGATTTTAAACATCGATGTATCCATCATTACATTTGTACCAGTAAAGGGCATTGTTGTATGCATGGTATTACCATCGCAGTTAGATGTTGAGTAGCTGGCGTAGGTAAAAGGCGTTGGATAAATGAGCGAAGCCTGATAATAAATTACACGGCTTGGTCGGTTTTATTAATAAGATTATCATCTCTTGGCAATGCAGATTCCTAACATGATCCATATGCTGTTTTAACGCGGGCTTTTGGCACAGAATTCCATTTCATGGGACGGCTTTTGTGCCTGTAATGATGTGTGCAGGAAACAAAAAGACATTTTGTTAAACAAAGAGAATGTTTGCTGTTTCCTGCTGTGGTATCATGCACATTTCTGGCGAATCATTCCCGCTGATTTTTGCTCAGCACATACATGTATACATTTGCTAAGCAGTAACGTCTGATTTGCAGCTTTATAAAATTGGGCGCTGTGGATTTTTAGGCTTTGATCATTTCGTGTGTGTGTTTTATTTTTTCATGCAAAGTACTACCGAAGACCAAAAAATACAGACATGCATAGCTCTGAACATGTTATTCATAACACCTTGACATACACGCGCATACTTGTTACTGGATTATGTGGACCACAAATGTTGAGTAACATGATGGGTAAAACAACACGGAGATAATATTCTCTTCACAACGGGGCGTCGTCTTTCGTATAACAATGTCTCCTTTACCCTAAAAGTGCATATGTATCTCCTGTATCGTTGTAGTGAATTTTGTTCATGCCATAATCACGCGCTGTACCTTAGGGAGTTTTTCCAGTAAATGTCTTGTGGTTTTTTGACACCAGTTATGTGAAAATCCGTTTTGGCCAAGACAGATTAGTTAAAAATGTTCAGTTTTGTCTGGTGACGTGCTCAATGATACGCGTGTGACCATGAACTTCAAATGACCACAACAACAGTGGATCGAGTTAAACTTGCTCAGTTGTTCTGGTAAGCGTTTCTTTCAAAATCTTCAGAGAGATCAGCCTTGGGGCAGTCAAGACTTTTTTCCCCTCCCCAGGGCATTGAGATGGTCCGAAAAAGCCCAGTTCTTTTGGGGTTAACACGGGAAGGCCTCCCCAACCACACCCTTTACACCCTTTTGCGATGTCCTTTTTTCCTCTTTCTTGAATCCCTCACCTTGCACGACTTTTTACCTCATGCTGAGAGGACTAGCATTATGTCCCCCCTACACTTTGGGGAAGCGATCGACGCCCGCTATGTCCAAGCGAGGAAAAAGAGCCTGACATGAAAATCAAAGACCCATTTTTTGACTCGCCAGTCCGAGACAATGATTGGATCCCTTTTGAACCCAAAGCGCTTTGAACACGTTCTGTCTCTTCAGTGGATGAGTCAAAGTCCCTGTCACTGTTTAGTGACACATCCTAGTTATTTCGAAAGATGTATATAATTTTGTTCAAGGAGATAATTTATGGCCCCAAAACGTCAACTGATGATGTGCATTTTAAAATCCACCTGCGAATTGGACTTTAAATTTTTTTCAAACTAAGGTCCTTTTTAGTGAAGATGAATTGCATTGCTAAGAGGATCAAAAATAAGAGGTGAAGGAATAGGCTCATGCGTGATTCGAATATACATTTTGCTGTTCATTCTTCTTTTTTGGATTCGAATTTATATTCAGAAATGCAGGCAATAAACTAGTCCACCGGTAGATATACTGATATGCAATATAAAACAACCCGCATAAAACAGAGATGTGTAATATTTTCATGCTTCATATCATAACAGTTGCATTCATTTAGGCAGTGTTATAGAGTTCTAGTGTACACGTGTTTTTTTTTGTTTTTTTGTCTTTGAATATTACTGTTACTGTTGCGGCAAAACCCAACTTGATGGTGCTTATAAAAGGCACTGGCCCTGAACGATCATATTTACTGCACGCCAATGGTGTCGAGTGCAGCACTGAAAAGAGCTTTTAAATGGAATAAATTAGCATAGCTTCTGTTAACCTTTGTGGTACATAACTTGGACATGGCTGGAGATTGCCCCACTTATGTTACATTTACCCATTACGAAACTGGCAACCAAACGCGTGTTTGTATCAACCAAATATTTGAGACTTTTAACGACGGATATGTGTTCAACAACGACTTGCGTTACTGTTTTTAGAATTCACGTTGTAATAGGGCAGAATTTTCCGTGAATCGTCGCACTTTTTTAGACAGGAACTACTTAATGAGGCACGTGTGTCAACCAAATTAACAAAACAGCAGAAGAAAATCCTTCGGCAAACATACAACTCCAGGCCAAACATGCTATTATTCGGGGATGGAGTGGTTTCATCTGTGTAGTATGCGCTCGTTTGTTTGTTTCTTTTTTAACCCTTATCGATCATA